TATATATATATATATATATATATATATATATATATATATATATATATATATATATATATATAGAGAGAGAGAGAGAGAGAGAGAGAGAGAGAGAGGATTGAAAATAATCGATTCCTAATATAAAGTGATACTCATCTAATTCCTAAAGTGTATATAATTGGTAAAGTTGTATATAGGATGTAAATAAAGTGAAACTTGAATAGGAAGGGTAATAAAGTTTCCAATGGTGTATAGGTATGTAAAAATCCCATATTTAAAACTCTTGGGATTAAACTAATTAAACTGATGAATTATAAGTTCCAAATTTAATTTTTATAGATTTTTAGAGTTTTTTTCCCATACATATCTATGAGAAAGATACGTTTTATGATCTATTATATGTACTCTTTTTAGTTATGTATTTTTTTTGTCCTTAATCAAAGGTCTCGGGTAGTATGAAGTTGTATTTGTTAGGGAACACTTTACCTTTTAATGTGAGACTTTTTAGCGCGAATTCAAATTTAATGGGACTTCAATACAGATACCGAACATCATATGAGAAACTAAAAAAAATTACTTTATGTACATTCGTGTGTGTGTATATATATATATATATATATATATTGATATTTTTCAGAAATTTCCTTATTCTCCTTGTGCTAAGCTATGTTGCTCGCTCTTTGAAAAATTTTTCGGGTGCGTACTAAACCCTCAAAAAATAGTAGTATATATTTTTCGACGATTTGACGCAGATACAGCAGCATGTTGAAGAATCCGTGCAACATGAGTGGTAAGTATCCAACCCATTAGGCGTAAAGCTTTGATAGAAAAGTTCACACACACACCCCCCACCCCCACACCCACCCATATAGGCCATAACGACGCGTTTGAGAGAATGCTCCTATCTGAAGCAAAGCTTTAAAAAGAGATATTACTCCCTAAGCAAATTGTAGGCACCGTTATTCCCTACCCACTCCACCGGCCATCCAACCATTCTCTTCCTTCCCAATTCACCAAATGGAAATCAACACAAGAAAAGAAATAAATATTCAAAAATTTACCAAGTCACATAGATAGTATCATAATTACGTCTTAATTCCAAATAAGATGAGATCTGCTCTTATTATAAATTAACTAATTTATACTTAATGTCAATCCAATATGATACTTGTAAAAACCTACTAGAATTTTAATAAATATTTAGTTTGAACTCAAACATTACAATAAATTTAATATTGAGAATTAACAATTCAACTCGTTAAAATTAAATTTTGGATACCCTTCTAAACTTGGAGAGATTAAAAAACATTGTTAGATCTAAAATTTTGAGTCAATACAAAATATTGATCACATTTTTAATGATGTGTTCAAAAAATTTGTTCCAAATTCCAACCACTGTGAAAACCTTAAATCTGCCAATGGTAAGGAGACAGCATATGCTTTCCTTGGATACCATTCATTGTATGCTCCATTTTTAATACAAAGTACTATTGACTGGGCAAAGCTATTAAAATAATACACTATTACTAAACTCAATAGTACTAGCATTAAAATAATATTTCCTCCCGCTCACTTTTACTTTGTCACTATACTAAAATTATATTTTCACTTTTACTTGCCTATTTTAGCAAATAAAAAAAAAGACAAAAAAATTTCGTTTTACCCTTATCGTTAATTACGCATTCCCTAAATTATTTTCCAAAACTTTTTTGAAATATTTATGGGCATTATGGTAAAATATGTACTTCATTTATCATTTTTTAAGGGGAACGCAAAGTCCATTATAAATAAGTAAAAGTGAACGGATGGTATTCATTATTGATAATTTAATAGTAGCACTGTTGGATTAAACCAACTCATAAATACTTTTAATATGATGCGATATTATTTACTTTGGGCTAAACCCGTAGGATTTTCTCAAAATAACTCACACCATTGAGTTTTTTAGTAAGCTCTCAGTCTTTTCAGTTATCAGTCAATAACTTTGTTCGCACACTCAATAATTCTCCCTCGAAATAGTTACACATAGCCTATTACCACTATTCACGTGTCCCCCCCTCCTCCCAAGTTTCACGTAGCCTATTACCATGATACACATGTAAATTTCGGGATTCACTATATGCCACTCACATTGCTCGCACGTTTTTCTCCAAAGAACTCACATTACTAAAAGGTCCTATAACTTATATATAGTCCTTTAATATTTTCAACTATCAATATACAGTCAGACCTCTCGACAATAATATCGCTATATAACAACTATTCACTATAAAAGTCAAGTTACTTTTGGAATTAATTTCTATATTATATTACTATAATATATGTTCTATATAACATATTTAGTTCTAATAATAAAAAAAACGGAACAAACAAGAATATTATAGAGACGTTCGACCGTACTAATTTATTCGCACCCAACAAAAGTACAAAAGTAGTAGACTCCTAGTAGAAAAAATATCTGTCCCTTTTTTCAGTTGAAGCGTTATATATATAAAATCCCAGACACCCTCTTCTTATCATTCTCTCATCCCCTCTCTCTCTCTCTCTATATGTGTCTATTTATTACACACACATATACATTCGTGCCCCCTTTACCATTTACTTTTTGGTAATATACAGAGGGTGGGAAATTAAAGGAGAGGGATGCATTTATTATCCTCTGTTTTTTTGTTTTTTCTGTGCTGGTTCTTGTATTAATTTTTTTTTTTTATGTTTGGTGGGTATGAACTCTTGATTTAATTCATTTTCTCATACCCATTATACATTTTTTTCTTTATATCCTCATTTTTAGAAACAAATTAAATAAATACCTGCAGATTTCATTGCAGATTTATTACTATTACAAGAATCAAATCACTATTTTTGCACCTATCTGATATTCTTTCGCAGAGTAGAGAAAATGGCTATATCTGAAAACGCGTAAGGATTTTTTTTTGCAAAAATAGACAAAAAGGAGATGGGATCTTATCAATTAATCAGGGAGAAGAATGAGGTACCAAGATTAAGATGGGATCCACAACAAGGAGGGGAAAATAATGTGGAAATGCAAGGAGAAGTTAAGAATTTTTGTTCGCCGAATAGGATAATTGATTTTATTACAAATGGTGGACAAAAGGAGAATAATGATTTGGAATTGACTGCTTTGATATCTCCAAATTTGACGACATTGCCCAAATCAAGTGTCGATTGTGTTGGCCACCATTTTCGCACCAGGCCAAAACTTGGTTCCAGTACTACATCAAGTGGAAGCGGTCGCCTTCTTTCTCTTGACATTTTTCGCGGTATCACTGTTGCGGTAATTTTCTCATTTTACCCTCTTTTATTTTTTTAATGACGGTGGTGTCCGGGTCGAGCAGTAGCGTAGGATTTTCACTAGGGGTATTATTACATTTAGTCCGTGCTAGAAATTATTTACATTCGGTAGATGAAAAAGTATAAAATTTGTATAATTTTTGTATATATATATATATATATATATACACACACACACAAAAGCTATACAATTTGGACTATTATTTGAGGGCGGCTATAAAGTATCATTTTTTCATTAAGAGGCATCAAAATTTAGAAAAGTTAATATACAAATAAGTCAAGGGATGCAATACATAAAAAAAGTAATTTTTACCTCCCGGTGACACCACTTGGAGCTATGTGGCTTCCCACTCGAGTCCGGTTGGGCGCACCTTGACTATTCTGCTAGCCAAATAGTAAGAAATCACCTAGGTGTTTTTCTCATCTACCATTTTTATTGAGATTTTTATTCTTTTTAATTTTTGTTAATGTGTATATTACTAGGTATAGAGGATTCATATAGCTAGGGGAACTGGTTTGGCATTGAGGCTTATAGTTGATTGATTCAATGTGTGTGTATTGTTGACTCTGTCTATTTTTGGTTTACTTGTTTTGGCATTTTCTTGGGATGGAGTTATTTGGATTTGATTCATTTAAAGTCCACAGCTTTTTTGTTTCGTTCCTTCAACTTTGGCCTGCAACTTGCGATTTGCTTACGCTAGTTGCTCCAGGAGCTCGCATACTATAGCATAGATAGCTTTACAGTCATTATCCTTTGACTTGGTGTTATGGTAGATGAGTTGGAAGAGAAAGTAGGGACTTTGGTGATGCTTAGGACGTAATATGATAGCTTGGTAAGAAGATAGATTGTTTGACTTTTAAGCAGAATTAACGGAGAAACGCACTCTGTTATTCTTAATAATTAACAATTTTGTAAGAGTAACTTATTTCGACTTGATAAACATGTCTAAAATTTGTAGTAAAAGCTAAGATGTTGTGGTGGTTAAAACCTGATGGGTCCAAGAAAAGGTCTTATATTTCAGTCATAGCAAAATCGGGGAAAGTCCGCACAATTTACCATTTTGGAGATGGAACTGAACATGGATTACTAAGCAACAATGCTACTTTTATTTGACTTTACAGGTGTTTTATACATAAGTATAATAATTACTAAGAGGGAAATTTAACAATAGATAATCCTTCTTTGCGCGTGTGAAAGAGGGAGCAAAATTGGCCATTTATTGTTTATGTAAAAACTAATTCCTAAAACCTGAATGGGCAGTTTGGTTCTTTTCTTTTAAAGCTTATCATCTTATCCTCTCTTGCTTTTGGTTACTCTTTTTGCAGTTAATGATATTTGTGGAATACGCTGGTGGACTTTATCCTGCTATCAATCATTCACCATGGAACGGCATAACCCTCGCAGATTTTGTCATGCCATTTTTCCTCTTTATTGTTGGAGTGTCACTTGCACTTGCATACAAGGTATATATTCTCAGACACAAATATCGGGTTACTAAGCTTAGTTTTGTAGCCGGATTTATTCATTTGAGCAACAACAACAACAACAACATACCCAGTCTTATCCCACAGGATGTATTCATTTGAGCGAAAGCAAAAATGTGGATATTGATCTTACAGCAATTTTTATCACTAAATATTTTGTATACGGACAGTTGTGAATCAAGATGTGAAGAGCACATTTTATGAGTTTATATCAGGAGCTTGTTTTTGCAATCCATTGAGTTTCTTATATATTTGCTACTTATGCTTATAGAAGTTGTTTTTGGTTTACAGAATTTGCCCTGCAGACTGACTGCAACTAGAAAAGCAATGCACCGTGGACTTAAGCTTTTAATCCTTGGACTCTTTCTTCAAGGTGATGTTCTTAGTCATCTGTTTAACTTAATATCTTTCGACAGCTGTTCGTAGGTTTGTCAGGAACCGGCAAGCTCTTAGTTTGGTCTATTAGATTAATGGCTTGCAAGTATGAATCTGACGTGCTTTTGTATTATATAAGCAGGTGGCTATTTTCATGGTCTCAAAAATCTAACTTATGGAGTGGACATTGAGAAAATCAGATGGATGGGTATATTGCAGGTATGGTTTCGTCAACCTTGACGGTGGTGAAATAAATGATAATTATATTTGTATTATGTTATATTTTATACTTGTGTTTCTCATGTTCTTGAAGTGGATAATTTATTTTTGAACTTTCTTTCCGCAGAGAATTGGGATATCATTTTTGTTGGCAGCGATGTGTGAAATTTGGCTTAAGGGTGATAATAAAGTTAATTCAGGACAATCTTTGTTGAAGAGATATCATCAACAATGGTAAGTTCCAAGTCTTTGATCATTCTGTCCAATAAAGATTATCTAAACTATTTGTCACATAAAGTGTAGTCGTTACTAACTTTTTTAACCAATCTGTCTCACTTAGCGTGAGCATAACATATTATTGACTACAGATAAAATTAGGATAAAATCAGCTTGATTTTGAGTTGAAACTTTGATTGTGTTCAAAAGATGGTCCTCAAGTCACGAACTGTTCGATATCTAATAGTAGAGAAACTATATACTATATAGCAAACTGTTGTATTGACAGAGAGCCTCGAGGATGATTCCCAATGGCTACACAGGTGGTTATTCTGTTTAAATCAGGTGCAGAAATTCACAAATATGGTTTTTTTGTTTTAACAAATGCCCATAGGACTATGAGTACTTAGTCCTCATAGCATTCCATCAAAATTGAAGATAGATACATAAATGTGGATGCTGACACCTTTTAGCTTCTTGAAGTGATAAATGGAGTGAATCTGTAAATAAAAGGTCAAGGATGCTAAAGCTGAGTATATAGAGATCATTCTGCAGTGTGTGTGTGAGAGAGAGAGAAAGAGTGTGTGTGTGTGAGAGAGAGAGAGAGAGAGTTCATGGACAATGTGTGCAAACAGTGCCATCCTGAAATCCTTCAAATGGTCTGTGTTGATAGCAGCAAATGACAATTCTTTACATCATAAGGTAACTCCTACTGTTACCTTGTTAAAAAAAAAAAAGGTAACTTCTGCAGTAATTGAATCTTCACTGTCTACTGGTGCTTCGGTAATCTCCTGTATCAGCATAGAGAAAAGTAGCATTAGAGTTGTCCAAATGCGAAGGAGCTCCATTAGTATGTCCAAACAGTATCTTGGTAGGGGAAACAGTGGGACGTGAGAATGCTTATTCAGATCTAATTATGCTGGATTTTGTCAATGTAACTTCTGGAAATTAAGTTAGTAATTTCTTCAAAGTAATTATATAACAAGTTAGTAACAATCAGTTGTTAAAGTCTGTGTAAAGACAAATTGATTTCCATAAAAGGTATGGGCTGTGTAACAATCAGTTCTGAATTTTTTGGTTCAAATTATTTTTCTTTTGTAGTTTCACATATAACCTTAGTTTTTAACATTCTTCTGTCAAATTTTTTTATGCTTAATGTTCACTCTACCGTTTGTTTATTTCCTTTTTCTCTCCTTCATTTTGGTGTTACCAGGGCCATGGCGATAATGGTTACGGCTTTATACCTTTCTTTGTTCTATGGTTTATATGTTAATGACTGGGAGTATCAGATGCCAATGGACACATCCTCTTCCAGAACACAGACATTCTTGGTAAGTTTCACTTTGTTTAGCTTTCGATTTTAGTTTTTCCATAAGGTTTGGGATCACATACCATTTTCCAAATGAAAGTGATGGATTTCCTTAACATGATTATCTTCCCTTTGAAGGTGAAATGTGGTGTACGGGGAGACACTGGGCCGGCATGTAATGCTGTTGGAGCGATTGATCGAAAAATATTGGGTATTCAGCACTTATATACAAGGCCCATTTATGGACGATCAAAAGTACTCTTCCTCTTGAATTCCTTAGTATTTCAGAATTTCTCTTTTTGCTTCTTTCTTCTTTTTTTTGGCATTCCTTGATGTTTAAAATACTTTATTATTTCCTTGACAGGAATGCAGTCTCAACTCCCCTGACTACGGTCCCCTTCCTCTAGATGCTCCATCATGGTGTCAAGCCCCTTTTGACCCGGAAGGACTTTTGAGGTTTGTCATTGGTACCTCCTTGTCTTTGTCATGTTGGCAGAAACATCGTTATGTTGTATCGCTCTATGTTGCGTGGGACTCTCCAAAATGATGCCGCACCCGTGTTAAATCCTCCAAAAATGCACTACTTTTGGAGGATCTGACACGCACCTGCAGACATTTTTGGAGAGTCCCGCGCAACATAGCTGTCAAGCTCCTTTCCGCTGTCACTGTCTTCTGCTGTTTCTTTGGTTGAAATTTTGTAAATTAAGCTCATTTTACTTTGCTGTAGCTCATTAATGGCTATTGTAACTTGCTTCATCGGTTTGCATTATGGGCACATCATCATCCATTTCAAGGTAAACGCTTTCTATTGCTTTCTCTTTGATGTCTAATATTTTTTTCTTTCGATGATAAATTTATGTATTTTTTTGCTCTCTGTCCTAATGTATTCCAGGATCATAAAGTTAGAATTCAACAATGGTTGATACCATCCTCTTGTCTTGTACTGTTGGGTTTAACTTGTGACTGCCTCGGTAATCTTCTCTGTTAATTTTCTGTTCTTATTCATGCTACAAATTCAGATCTTTGTTTACTGTAAGAGAACAAATTTACAATAGTCGTCTTAGATGTAGATCCAGTTTCTTTCTTCTATTAACTTATCTTTTTCATTCACCTCATTTAGGGATGCATATGAACAAGGTTTTGTACTCCTTCAGTTATATGTGTGTTACTGCTGGTGCCGCTGGCTTTCTCTTCACTGCAGTCTATATGATGGTTAGACACTATCCATCTCTACTAGTCTTTCCTTGTGTTTTTTCTGAATATGAAGGCAAAGTTTTGTAGGAATTTTTTGGTATCTTGTTTTATTGTAAAAAGTGACTTCTCCTAGAACTTCTGATAAAAAACCAACAACACCGTTCTCTTTTATGGAAAATATGACATGTTGAAAGCCACCTAATATAAAAGTTCATTTCTTTTATAATGAGAGAGAACGAAAAGATACGTGGAAACTCTCATCACCACTCATTTAAAAAGATAATTTTGGTATTCTGAGGCACTATTTTGATCTTTTTCCTTTCCGCACTTCACCTTTAGGCTAGTTGCTTCTGTCAAAAACTCCAGAAATGCTAGGGCTGGTAGATATGTCATTCTTTTCTTATATAGCTAAACAGTTTGGTCTTTTTATAGGTTGATGTGTGGGGTTATAGACACTGGACTACAGTACTGAAATGGATGGGAACTAACGCATTGCTGATCTACGTTCTTGTATCGTGCAACATCCTACCGGTTATTTTGCAGGGATTCTATTGGAGTCGGCCTGACAATAACGTTGTGAGTACAACTTAGAATCTTAAGCATTATCCATTCGATGAGTTTGTGATCTTTCAATAGTTTCCTCTAACTAAATTACCATTTTTCGCAGCTCACATTGATTGGTATCGGACATAAGAAGTAGTAGACAAACAAATTGGCATGCAGGGGCTTGGCATTTGTCCACAATGCTTGATTATTTTTTGCGGAAGTGAGCTTTAAAGCAAGTCGAGGCGAATATTTCCCTCTTACGCATGACACTATCTCTATGTAAATTTATGTATATGTATATTAGACTAAGAGTGCACAAGCCACACACACGCATCACATATATCAGTTCGATTTATTGACTAAAAACATGGTTTAATGAATGAGAAATCTGCTCATAGCAGCAGCAGAGGTATTACCTCAGGGACAGTGGAGATATTGTCTATGGAAACTCTGATGTTGTACTCTTATGCTAAACTGTTAGACTTTGTTATTTTTCAAGCGTCGATGCTGGAGACGACAGCTTAGGAAGGCGGATAGTATAGCAATTGCAGTGCATACTGCAGTTCTACTGTATGGTTAGTATAGTAATGAGATTGGCTCTCATTACTATGCTTCTTGCTGTATTGATGGCCATAAGCATTTTAATCCCAAATTAGTTGGGGTCGGTTATATGAATTCTCTATTTTCTATTTTTCTCTATTCATGTTTGATATAGCTTGTGTTTAGTACACATTCCAATGTATGGGAAGAGCTAGAGGGGTGGGTCGGAAAATCAAACAACAATAACAACATATCCAGTGTGATCTTACAAGTGGGGTTTGGGGAGGGTGGGGTGTGCGTACACCTTGTCTCTACCTTGTGTGAGGTAAAGATGCTGTTAAGAGAGCTCAAGAAAACGTTTTGAAAAATACATTTGAAAAAAGTTTAAGAGTATATATAATGAAAATACCGAAGAAAATGAAAGTATTGACAACATAAAATAATAAAGATATCTGAAATTAAAGAAATAAGGAAAAATTATGCGACACAGTAAATATATAGTATAGTGTATTTACCGTTCATAGTTATACTTTTAGAAACTTACCATTCGTAGTTATATTTAAATTTTATAGCAAATTCACCTGTAGTACTGAAACAAAAGAGCAATTGTGTTGAACTGAAACAAGAGAGCAGCAAGCTCTCGTAGCCTAGTTAGTTGGAGCACCCGCTTAGTGAGCGGAGCTCTTGAATTCGACTCTCAACAAGAGCGTTCTATTTTTCTGTATTTTTGATTTTGCCTTGGTTGTATTCATTGCGCGAATGAATACAGTCGATACATGTTGTATCTTTTGTATACACCCCTGTATTTATGCGAACGAATAGAGTTGATACATGTTGTATTGTTACGCGAATAAATACATTTGACACATGATGTATTCGTTGTGCGTCTGATACAAGCTGGTAACAATTGAACAATAGTCACAAAAGGTAATTAGGTAAACTATAATTAGATTTTAAACTGGCGTGCTTTATGAAAATTCCTCAAGGAATAACAGTAGTAATAAAACTGAAAGTCTATTTTTTTTTTTAATGTACATATAGTAGATGATGAACCATTGGATTGAGTATTTAGGGGATTCATCGCAGTTGGTAGGCATACTAATTTCACGTTGGTTTTCAACATACTACAATTGTTTTTTTGTTATTCAAACTTACCTGTAAAGTCCAATATAATGTCATTTTGGACAGTACTCGAATGTTTAAATATTAAGCCTTGTTTTTATTCAGTTCAAGTTTAAAAATTAGGTGCATCAACACTATCTACCAAAACATACATTGGTCCCTTCTATGTAAAGACAATTAGTTCAACAATCAAAATCTCAAATTTAAAGTGAAAGAAATTTATCAAATCTCAACCAAAAAGCTAAAAATGTATAATTCAGTCAAACTTTTAATTGCTTTACTTATACATGCATATAAACAATTAATAATACTTACATTTATCAATTTTGGGAAAAAATATGTACATACATACATTTATCAAGCAAAGAAGGAAGTCTAAAAGTAAAAATAAAATAAAAATTAAAAAGATAGAGAATCATTATTTTCCCTCTAAATGTTGAACAACATTAATTATTTAACAAATCATGTATTTTCAAATTATTTGAGCCAGCCAACCATGAGAAAATCGAAAAATGTACATTTTTCAAAAAACATTTTCCTTTATACCAAACACCCCATATATGCTATACTTTTCCTTTTTGAATGAATATAGAAATTTATTAATTATTGAAACTGTAGCCTTACAACACATAAAATATATATATGTGGCACAATAATTTGAACATTGTGAATATAACCTTACTCATAAATATATCATAACCTAAGTAGACTTTTTTTTTAAATAAAGTATTCTTCACTGGCATCAACGTCGCATGAGCCTGACCGACCCCAAGAACACGACCAAATCCAAGACGAGCACGACCTTCGTAACCTAAGGAGACTTTTTTGATGATTTTCTAGGCACATCTCTATTCCTCCTGCACTCTTTTGGCATAGTTGCAAACCTCTTTTTATCAGTGCAATAGTTATAAATAGTGTATTTATCCCTTACTCTACGTAAAAGTCTCCATTGTTGTTTATCCAAATCTTGAAATTCTTTTTGATCCCACCATTTCGTGCCTTGATTTGAACAATATTTTGCATTTACAGAGGCTTCACATCCATCTATGTGAAATCCTTTGTAAGATGCAACAAAAGGTGCATTTGACCAATCTATTTTTTCAAGTCCACCTCTTGTTGCCCAATCATCTGCTTCCCATAGACTTGAGTATATCTTCATTGGTTGATCAAATGGGAATTTGACACCTAAATCTTTGCTGTTTTTGAATGTTCTGATTGGGTATTCATCTATAAAAAACCTGCATGTATGCATATAATGTTATATTTCAAGAAAAAGCATCAGTCCAGTGCGCGAAGTATTTCGTGTTCATGGAGAATTTGGGAAAGGGCAGCACCTCAAGGGAGTGTGAGGTAGGCGGTCTACCCTAATGCAAGTATCAATGACTGATTCCACAAATCGAATCCGTGACCTATAGGTCATACGGAGACAATTTTACCCTTTACTCCAACAATCCCCTTCATAGTGTTTAAGTCCAAGAAAAAGGGTAGTCCGATGCACGAAACATCTCGTGTTCACGTAGTGTTTGGAGAAAGACCGCACCCCAAAGGGTATAATATAGGCAGCCTACCCTAATGTAAGCATCGGTAGCTGATTTCACGGCTTGAACCCGTGACTTATAGGTCACATAGACACAACTTTATAGTTCAGCCCAATGTTCCCCTTCGTAGTGTTTAATTTCAAGTCTTAGGCCTCATTTGTTTGCACTTAATGGAGGTCTGAATCTTAATCATTCAGATCTCAGACATTAAGTGCGTTTGTTTTTAAAGTCTGAATCTTAATTATTCGGATCTTAATCATTAAGTGTGTTTGTTTTTTTTACTTTACAACCACTTAATGTGTCTGAATAGGTCTGTATGATTAAGATCTATAACAGAGACTTAATTTCATTAAGATGCTATCATATATTCATTATTAACTGCCGCCACCGCCTACCATTATCAACTACCACCATGCCACCACCACCACTATACTCAACCACCACCTCCACCTCCGCCACCACCACGCCACCATCATCTTTAATCATAGCCTCCATTATCGACCATCACCACCTACTATTCCCACCACTCCGACCACCATCATTCTCACCACAATCAACAGTCATCTGTCTCAACTACCACAACTAACCACCCCTATCACCATCAACAACCACAGCCGACACTGCTCATCAATATAACCTACCACCACCCACCCACCACCTTCCTCAATCATAACTACTACCACTATCCGACATTATTAACTATCACCACCCACCACCACCATCCTCAATCATAATTGCCACCACTACCAATTACTACTAGCTACTAGCATGAACCACCATCATCAACCAAAACTACCACCAACCACCGCCTCTAGTCGGCATTCACCCGTTAGCCATCACCACCAACAACTATCATATTTTAAAAAACTATATATTTTATTGATAGAATATTAGATTAGTTAGTATTTTATTTGAATTTTATGTTTATTAATTTTCATATAAAGATAAATTTTATACATTCAGATGTTAAAAATCAAACGGTCTTAATTATTTCTATTCAGATCTTAATACACATCTTAATATATTCAGATGTGTATTCAGATTCACATGTCTTAATCTAATACACATCTTGATATTCAGATGTGTATTCAGATTCAGACATCTTAATCTTAAAAAAAACAAATGAGGCCTTAGTAAATATTGCATGCCCTTAACTAGATTATCATAAAATATTACAAGTAGAGGTGTTAAATAGACGGATTTGGGTCAAACGAGTCAAATTAATAAACAAGTTTATGATCCAACCCATCCAAAATGACATTTTAATTGATTTGACATGCCTATTTGGCCCGAAAATAGTTTATGAGTAACCAATCAAAAGTTGAGTGATTTTAAAATGACAAGAATTAGTTTATAGACGGGTAATGAAAGGTTGGGTTAATCTTGGACGTGTCGAAATGGGTCAAATTAATAAAAGGGTCACGATAAAACACGTCCAAAGTTTGCTGGAGTCATAATGACGTGCCTACTTTAGCTGATTTGACATGCCTACATGGCATTCCGATCATATTTAATGGATTTTCTGAGTAACCAATCAAAAGTTCGGTGATTTTAAAATAACAAAAAATAATTTAGTGGTCTTTTGTAGAAAAGATCATAAGTTTAATGGCCTTTTGAGAAATTAATATTAAAATTAGTGCTAATACATGGAAGCAAATGTCAAGGTAACAGTAGATTACCAAAGATTGTGACGACGAATAGAATCTCTCGTCATTAACTAGAGGTCTCGAATTCGACAAAAGAATAAAAGGTAAGAGTAGAAATACAGAGAAGAGAGTAGCTTACACAATCTGGTGGAGATTCCACAAAACAGAATAGGTGTGGTAATCTTTGGTTGGATCAAACCATAAATAAATCCTCTGCTCTTTGTCACCTTTCCCTCCTGTGTATATATTTGTTTGTACCACATATGGCTCTCCTGTTTTGTTCCCCAAAAACTCAAAGTCTATTTCATCATGCTCATTATTTTGTGAAGACAGCTGCACATATAGGGTAAATACTTATTCGTATCGGATATTTACACCCGATCAATCATTTTAACCTTGGTTAACTACAAGTTAGAGTAAGAATACATATTAGCAAATCATGGTTAAGTGATAAATTTGTGCATGAAAGACATGTGTCTTACATTCGTTAGTTGGGTGTAAACACCCGATGCAAGTAAGTTTTTACCGTAAATATAATTTCCAGGTAAGACAAACAAAAACCAATAAATAAGCCAGAAACACAAGATTTTGTACAAGTGGCGGCTTATTATTTTGTCCAAGTGGCGTCAATTTATTATCACATCTCAACTTGTATATGAGCTTGAGTCGGGAACTGTAGAAATTTTTACGACTTTACTTTTTGTCGCAAATTAATATTTACTTTATATTACTGTCAAGCGATATCGATATATTATATTATGCATATATAATACTATAATTGATAATTTAATATATATACATATATATATATATATATATATATATATATATATATATATATTTTATGCTAAGACTTACATAGAAAGCAGTGACAGTGCCAGCAGAATCACCAGCAACCATCTTTATGTGCATTGCAAAGTGCCCAAATAGGTAAGATCCTTTTGATTGGAAGCCAGTTCCTATGTCCCAAAACAAATAAATCAGAAAATTTTGATTTTATATACTTTCACCATAACATCAAATACCAAAAAGATAAGAAAGAAAACTATAACATAATACTACAGACAACATGGAGCAGATCAGAAGAATGTGGAGCTAGCTAGCTAGTAGTTAGTGCGTGTTTGGTATAACAGAAGTTAATTATTTTTCGAAAAAATATTTTCATGAAAAATGTGTTCCGATGTTTGGTTGGTTGAATATTAATTTTAAATTATATACACTAAATTAAAATTAATAATAGTATTAATTAGCAAATCGAAGAGGGTCTTGATGAAAATTTTGAGTACTAAAGATTAATAATAATGTCTAATTGTAAAAGTCACTTTTTTCCTATAAGAAAGCAAAGTCATTTATCCCATTTCTATGGAAAATATTTATGAAAAAAAATATTTTCTAATATTCAAATGCTAGATATTTTCCTGAAAAATGACTTATATATGTTATACCAAATACTCTAATTAAAAAGCACAACACGATGCACAAGACATCCCGTAGGGTTCAGGGAAGGGCCGCAACCCAAAGGTTGTGACGTAGACTGCAGCCTATACTAACGCGAGCATTAGTGGCTGCTTTTACAACTCGAACCCGTGACCTATAGGTCACACGGAGACAACTTTAACGGTACTCCAAAGCTAATAAACTAAGAAATTAGTAATTATATTTTACCAGTGCGGTTGTCAAGGAAGAGCTGGATCTCACTGCCACCATTAAAGTATTTGACATGATCAGGAGCCCAAGTATTCTCATAATTTCTTCCAAATGGTACATCCATTGGCTTCTTTGGTGCAGCAGCCATTGCTCCTACGACAAATAACACACACAACAACAACATATTCATCCATTTGAATCCCATAATGTTTCTACTTCAATTTGCTCTGTACTCTTTTACAGAGCAGAAGCAGAGATGGATAGAATCCCGACACCCTTATTAAGTCGCTAAGAGACTTAGGAGATTTCTTTGTTTTGGGGATGAGAAAAATGTACTAGTCCTAGGCTGTTATATATAGATACCTTAACGTGAAAAAGACTGCAACTTTGATAGTGTCGAAGCTGAATACTGAATAGAATTCAATGAGGAATTGATTAATGTAATATCTTATTCACATTCGTATCTCGAAAGTTTCGAGAGAGGGAAAGGTCAATGGCTAACATCAGATGCACGTGCACATGCATGTAACTTGCATAACTCTTTGGTACGAGTATTTTAACCGGCTTTTCTCTATTTCTCAAAAACTGTTTACGTTCCGTAGCTGAAAAAATATATATAATTTGTTTAATTTTTGTTATATACAAAAAAATATACGTTTTTCGACTATCATTTTCAGAGAGGCTATGTAGTGTTGTTTTTTCTATTTTTTAACGGTAGACCGCCAGCCAAAATTTAAAGCTTATAAGTTCATAATTCAAGTTCTTTTAAGTTATATTGAGTTGACAAATTACTAAGACAGTAATTTTCTAAGACAAATGCAAGGTTTGGATCAAAGCCAGTACCGGATCTGGAGGTTTGTTTTTGCACAATTACCACCACATTAGGATAGGTGAAAGTAGTCCATGTATTTATTGATTTTTATTTAAATTATGTATAAACTTGGAAAATATTGTATATATACAATATTCATATTAAGTTCACAACCATTGTGTTTACCTCGAAAAATGTGAGTAACAATTAAAGATAATTTGTGGTTTTAAAGATATGTGATATATTTTAATACTAGTGATTATACAGGTAATATTAAGATTAAGTAAGAAGAATTGATGAACCAAATCAGTGTTGTTGGAGCAATAGGGGCCTCGAGCTTGATTATCCCAGGGACCTCGAGGTCAGTTAGGAACAATAAAGTATGAACAATAAAGTAAAGACAATAAAGCTGAAGATAATTGTTGAGCACGTTAAACAAGAAAAACAGAGTAGAATGTTCTATTGCAGTTAATGAGATGATCCTTACAAATGATTGTGCCCCCTTTATATAGGAGGGGAAAACCCTAATATGGTACATTTCCAATTATGATAAAAAATTCTATGGGTACAGTTGTATAACGACCTAGTACGGACTTATACTATTTCGTACAAATCTTATCCTATAATTTTTGCCCTGATCCACGTGTCCTTGAGAAATTCCCGCTCTTTCTTGAGTGCCTTCGAGATTGTGCTGCCCTCGACGTAGGTCGTGCCAGGACTTCGATCTGCTTCCTCGAGGTGAGTGTCCTTTAGTCGGGTCCGACCTCCACTTCGAATCGCCCGGACTCGGACTCATAGCCCAATTTAAGACTTTGAAATCGGGCTCCTTGATTTTGACCATATACAGATAGTCCCCGCGTTTCTTAGAATAAGATGATAAGAAACGATTTGAACCTCGATCTTCCAGAGCCACTTGTGATAACATCATGCCCGTGACGTAGGCACTTGAAGTGACCGGAAATGTCATGTCAGCGTGCTTCCCCAAAACGTCCGATGCATTTCAGCCTTTGTCGGCGACTTGCGCCACCGGTTCCGTCGTTAGTTTCCTATAAACAAGAAGTTACTTGACTGAACACAAACTACACTTATTCCTTCTTCATCTACTTTTAGTCTTTTCCCTTTTCTACCTCTTCCTCTAATCACCCATTTCTATGGTTCAAAACTGTAACCACAAGGTCACATGGCAGCAACTTTACCAGTTACGCTAAGGCTTCTTTTTTCAAAGCTTCGGCTCGAGACAATGGGAGAAGGGCATCAGATCTTTCTTGTATCAGAAGATATGCGAACTCTATACTGCTGCTCATCTCTCTTAACTTCAACCTGGTGTGGCGCTTCATTCCTTTTACTTTTCGTGGAATGAGGTGGTACTATCATCTACTAACTTTTGCATCCCACACCGGAACAGAGTTCCGAGGATGAACACTCTTGGATTGTTGCTTGTGCATCTTGCAACCCCTTTTGGTCTTTTCCTTTTGCCTGTTCTTTCTTAATGTATTGTGGCCCAAAACTTCATTGGAATGCTCGATCTCGGCTGCTGGAGATATAATTACATTTATCGAGGGTCTCCTGCCCCATACATACGTTCCCGGAGATCTTAAATGGTTCCCCCGAGGAAAGAAACTCCGAAGACGATGCTCTCGAGGACGTGGTCTTAAAAGCGGATTAGGTTTTTCGGCTTTGTTTTTTGCTTATTTGTTCCCGTGTAAGCATCCTCCGTGGGTGCCGTAGCTATAATTTGTAAATATTTCTTGGAAGTAAAAAAGGATCCTTTTGTATCCCTTCTGGTTCATGCTGAATTTTATTCTACTTTATTCGTAAAAGACTTTGATTAGATGGTTTCAATAGCTAGCCCAAATGTCGAGCTCGGGACATAATAAACCCTTAGGTTTTTAATATAATACCCCTCAAGGTTCTCGTCAATCCTCGAGCTGATCTTAAATGCAAACTCTGAACATCATGATCCCCGAGCTCGAGTTAGGTGAGAGCAAGATTTCGAAATGAAGTTAATCCTTAGATCTTTTCGCAGTCCCCGAGTGAGAAATTTCCCCAACTCGGTTAGCCCTTGGGCTTTGCAGTCGAGTAGGCATGTGCTCGAACTTTATAATAAGGATAACCCTTAGGCCTTTTCTCAGTTCTAGAGCGAGAAACACCTCAAACTCGGATAGCCCTTGGGATTATTAATCGAATGAATATTCTGCTAAAAAAAACAATACAAAAATTTCTCATATCGAATTCGAAGTGCCATGCTATTATTACTTAGTATTCATATGGCGAAGGCATAGTCTTCTTTTATCTCTCAAATAAAAACCTCATTGGCGCCAAGCGTGAGGGAATGCTAGACGTTTGGTAATTTCTCCTCCGACCAGGATAAAAGATCCCATTGAAGCGGCTAATCCCATGCATATTGTATGGACATCTGGTCGCACAAATTGCATAGTATCATAAATAGCCACCCCAGGTATTACCCAGCCCCCATGAGAGTTTATAAACAAATACAGATCTTTGGTCTCATCCTCGATACTGAGATATACCATAAGACCAATAAGTTGATTCGAAATCTCGATATCAACCTCTTGGCCTAAAAAAAGTAATCTTTCTCGATAAAGTCGGTTGATTAGGGTAAAATTGTATCCCTTAGGAACCGTACATGCGCCTGAACTCAACTTGTTGGCTGCCCTTTATGATTTTTGACAAATTAATCCTCTATGCCTTGGCCTTGATGCCAATATCGTGACATAAGCGGTTGAAGTGACTGAAAGGTTGCTTTTTGTACGATTCCCAAAATCACTAAATGGGGGCGGCTGATGGTCGGCCTTTTGGCTTCCCCAGCACGCTTAAGATCTCTATAAAAATAGGCGAATTCCACAACCTTACAAACTTTCATTCCCATATTGTTCTCAAAGTCTCATTAGCCTTTTTCCATTTCCTTGAACTCTCCCTTCTATTTACTGTTAACACTTATTAATTTCCTTGGAACTTCCGCATTTGCGATGGCTAACACCTCTAAATCGGTTTCTCAAAAAGAAAAAGCTTCTTCATCTTCCCGATCAACCAAGAGTAAACCGGTAGTACCCCCTCGTATTGAAGAGTGTATCCCTCCGCCATGTGAAATAACATCCGATTTCAAAGTCGAGAAACCTGCATCAACACCAGGCCGATGCGAGCCCATGTCTCGATATGTTTGCTTGGTGACCAAGGCCGAGCTCGGGCAAGTAAAGGAGGACTACAAGTGGGATAATAAAGAAATAGTGATCCCTTCCTCCGAGGAGGACATCACTACATATAAAGCGGGGTACTTGAGCGTATATACCTACCCATTTACGTTGGGTCCTGCAATCCCAGCTCAGGGTCCCATAGATCCGGTGATTCTTGACTTTTGCCAACGATATCGAGTGACGCTTGGCCAGATCTACCCCTCCTTCTGGCGAATCGTTTACTTGATCAGGTTCTTTTCGAACCAAGTCGAGGGGAAGACTTTTACCCTCGATCATCTGATCAGACTGTACATTCCTCGACTTTATCGTGGAGGTTTGATAAAGTTGCAACGGCGATCCTTAAAATCTCTCTTCTCTAGCATTGATGAGGTCAAAGACTGTGGATGGATGAGCCGGTTCGTCTGAGTCAGGACCTCTGATCTGATTCCTGTTGATTGGATGTCGTTTCCCGAGGAGTAGAACACGAAGCATAAGTACATAGCGAGTTTACGTCCTGCTCTCTTTTCTTTTTCTCGGCTTTATCCTTTTTCTCGAACTAACCCCTTTCCGATGGCGCACCCACTGCTTGGTTTCCTGGTGGGGTCCCGGAGTTTATTAGCCTTGGCCTTTGTTTCGAGGGGGTGCCTCTTTGAGGTCTTATGAGTCCGAATTTTTGATGACTCGGATGTATTGGCTGTCAATGACAGTCCCCGGGTATTTCGGGGTGCTTCGGCCCTTGAGCCGCTTCCCGTAGGATTGTAAGTGTAGAGCTCGTACGAGATAAAAAGTGTTTTTGATATAACCAGAATGCTTCTTTAAATAGTTGATACATGCGTACATGTTTTGCCGTCGGGGCTCGATTATTACGTATGGACACGGTTCATTCGACCGCTTGGTCGATTACAAATTTCTCCTATCGAGGCCCTCTTAGGTGTGGAATATCTTTCTCAAAAATATAACCTCCGAGGGTGATGCCCCCCAGTATTCGAAGTTGATCGAAAAGAAGCCTTGAATACTTGTTGAATGTTCCTTAGGTAGCATATAGGTGTTGCCTCGCTAAAAACCTTACCGGTAAAACCCATTTGGGACAAAATCCGAGCCAAGGGAAAAAGAGTGCAACGCATGCTTTACAACCTACGGCCTTCATGTAAGAAGGGGTATCTTCGAGATCACGAGCCTTTCAGAGCTTCTATCGTGCCGAGCTTGTGAGATCCTTTACCAACGACTCTGAGGTCTTACTATCCATGACCATGATATCTTCGAGAGCCTTGACCTGGTCGGGGATGATTCTGATGCCCCGATTTGACACCATGAAGGCCGAGAAACTTACCCA